CTAGACAGAATTTTTCATGTCGAGAAATCTGTCTAGCGGCTGTCTAGTAAATAAGGGGTAGGTGTAACATCGTAATTACTAGGCAGTCCCTAGACAGAATTTTTCATGTCGAGAAATCTGTCTAGCGGCTGGCTAGTAAATAAGATGTAGGTGTAATGTTGTAATTACTAGGCAGTCACTAGACAAATTTATTGATATTACGAAATATTAGCTAGCGACTATCCAGTGACGAGTTAGAAATCTTATCTAGTTAATACTGTCTAGTGCCTAGATGGTAAATCAGATTGGTTAGATTCATTTCTGCTCGGGTACTTAATTCGCCGTGCAATTGACTAATTGCGTTTGCTGTTTAGTGGAATTGATCACTTATAGTTGACACTTATGGTTGATTCGGCTTAATCGGATTGGTGAAACCGGTCCCTTGTATATAATATATAAAACGATAGGGGTAATGGTGGGATTTTCTAAATTATATACAAACTTACCTTTTTAAAAAAAGATAAAAAAAGGCGCTAAGAGTGTGTATGATGTTCGAAAAAACTATTTATGGTAAAATCTAAACAAATTAAAATGTTAAACCCATGTGGTACCATCTTTATCAAGTTAAATTCTACCATATTAAAAAGGATATCCAAGTGGTATTATTATTAACTTATTTCTAATAATATGTATCATGTGCATAAAAGATTTGATATTATCAACAAGCGCCAAGTTAATTTTTATCTATCAAATGAAAAAGTAAAACACAAGTGGTACTGTCTCTTATTTATACAAACTTACCTTTTTAAAAAAAGGTAAAAAAAGCGCTAAGCGTGCGTGCTTTTCGTAAAAATTATTTGGGCCGGTTTCATCAACGCCAATTACCTAATTCGCCATGGAACTGACTAATCGCGTTTGCTGTTTAGTGGAATTGACCACTTATGGTTGACACTTATGGTTGATTCGGCTTAATCGGGTTGGTGAAACCGGTCCTTTGTACATATTACTTAACTCTAATGATATGTATCATTCATATAAAAGATTTGACATCAACAAAATTGGCGCCAAGTTAAATTCCTCAAAATTTTATGTATCGATCGTAAGAAAGATTTGATATCAACAATTGATGCCAAGTTAAATTCCATGTAATTCGGATACCAAATTAAATAAATAATATTGACTTTAATGATATGTATCATTCCTGTGAAGGATTTGATATCAAGAACTGGCGCCAAGTCCCATTTCTTTATTTACTTAATCCAAATAATACTATCTTTAATTTTTATACAATGAAACCTAAGTATACGTATACCTTATTGTAGGATCTTTTTATTCCAAACCAAATGGTTTCAATTCCTTTTAAATGAAATTATTATATCACAATTCATTTACACAAAGACATTTTCTCTTCCAATTAAAGTAGTTGGTATTTAATTCTCTTTCAAAATAATATACAAAACGTTACCACAAAGTTGCGTTACCTTGCTCAATTTAAGTGTTACCACAAAAAATTAAAGAGTTAAAATGAAAACATTTATTTTAAATAGAAAAATTTTTCATGTAAAAACACTTGGCGCTGCTATATCGAGATCTCGATCTCGATATAACATAGTACTAAGACATGATGTAATATTTAGAAAAATAAGAAAAATACGAATGTGATACTAAAAGATGTAAATAAGTAACAATATGAGTAAAAAGGACATATAAGAGTCAGTTAATATAATTTTTAATAATTAATACATCAAGACAAAAATGTGTTTATCTCATAAGATTTATGAACGAAATTAATCGAGAACATACTCCTTATAAGCGTCAAGTTCTACAAATTATAAAATTATGAAAATTATTACATGTTTCGGCCTTTGATTAGGCCATCTTCAGATAACGACATATTATTTTAAATTATCGTGAACATTAATTAAAATTAAACGATATGTGGTCAAAAGAAGAAACCTCTCCCCGGGTATGATCAAGACGCCGATGACAAACGATTTACTAATCGACTGACTGAATCTTCATCTATTAAGATAATTCATTTCTTTATACACGAAACCATAGAAATATCATTCTGCTAACAAAACTCACCATAATCTACCGGAGAATAAGTAATCCTTCTCTGTGTGACATTGTCAATATATAATATAATTCACCTGAGCGTAATTATAATACATGTGTCTACATATTGAAAATCGAATAAATTGAGATCGACACGCACCGCACGAAATTCAGACAATAAATGAGATAACTGAGTCTTACTGACAAAACGGACAAAGTCAAAATTTGTTTATGATGGGTATATACGCTTTGTGTAAGTCTTCAGTGTCAGTTTGAAAGTTGAGACCATTTTGCTGTTTTTTAATATACAATATTTCAGAAATTAAACGCTTATTATAACACGGTTCTTCATCCAATATCTAAACGTTATCCCAAGCAAATTCATGTCCGATTTGTAATCTTTATTCGGAAATCACGGATCTGGTAGATGTGCGCCAACGAATGTGATTCCGGTGCTCATTAATTCTAGTTGTTAACAGTCTGCCCGTTTGACCAACATATGATGCATTACAGTTGTTACAATTAATTTTATATACGACGTTGTTTCTTGAAAGCTTTGATCTTTTATCTTTCTGTACTTTGATATATTTGTTTAGTTTGTTGGTACTATGAAAAGCAACTCTTATATCTTTTTCATTAAGTTGATTGAATTTTTCAATAATTGATGGAATGAATGGAACAGTTATCCAAGAATGCATAGTTTTTGTGATTCATCTTTATCATCTGTTGAAACTGTTTTTAGATTTTTTGTAAATGATGTTCTGTATTCTTCTGTTTATGTTATCGAAAATGAATTTTAAATGGTAGTCATTATTTAATAATAATTGAATAATAAATATCAGATTATCATAATGATATTGTTTGTTTGAGAGAAATAAAGCTCTGCGAACAAGATTAAAAACTATTGCTGTTTTTTGAGACTTTGGATGATTAGAATAAAAGTTAAGGAATCTTCCTGAAAAAGACGAAACCAATTGAAACCAATTGAACATCAATTGGTTGTTATTGATGATCATTTTAACATCTAAAAAATTCAATTCTTTGTCTCCAATTTTTAGAGTAAATTGCAGTCTTGAATGGATGGAGTTAAAACTTTCAAGAAACGAGTTAACATTATCAGACGGAACCGCGGCACATAAATCATCAATATATCTATAATAAAATAATATTCTGTCATTGTATACATTTAATATAAAAATACATAAACCGAACAGTACATATAGAATCATCGTGTCATCGATAGACAGTCCTTTATATAACTTAGCCTCATACATACAAAATATACTACTTACAGCAATTCCGAAAGCAGATATCTATATAAAAAATAATTTTCAAATAGTCAATAATCTTAAAGAAATAAAAATAGGAGATGATTATAAATTCATTTCGTTAGATGTAATGTCACTTTTCACCGACATCCCAACAGACAGGGCCATTGAATGTACTAAAGAAAACTGGAAATTTATTTGTAAAAAATATAACTTATCTGAGAAAGACTTTATAGGGGCAGTTAGTTTCATTTGAGAACCAAGATATTTCATCTTTAATAATAACATCTATAAACAGACCTTTGGTACACCCATGGGTTCGCCATTGTCACCCATAATCACGGATTTGGTAATGCAAAAGCTAGAGAAAATAGCGTTAAATATATACAATGACAGAATATTATTTTATTATAGATATGTTGATGATTTATGTGCCGCGCTTCTGTCTGATAATGTTAACTCGTTTCATGAAAGTTTTAACTCCATCCATTCAAGACTGCAATTTACTCTAAAAATTAGAGACGAAGAATTGAATATTTTTTAGATGTTAAAATGATCATCAATAACAACCAATTGATGTTCAATTAGTTTCATAAACCGTCTTTTTCAGGAAGATTCCTTAACTTTCATTCTAATCATCCAAAGTTTCAAAAAACAGCAATAGTTTTGAATCTCGTTGACAGAGCTTTATTTCTCTCAAACAAACAATATCATTATGATAATCTGATATTTATTATTCAATTATTATTAAATAATGACTACCATTTAAAATTCATTTTCGATAACATTAACAGAAGAATACAGAACATGATTTACAAAAAAACTAAAAACAGTTTCAACACATGATAAAGATGAATCACAAAAAAGTATGCATTCTTGGATAACTGTTCCATTCATTCCATCAATTACTAAAAAATTCAATCAACTTAATGAAAAAGATATTAGGTGTCAAACTTAACTCCTATCGCTCGCTACTAGAGGACTCTGCCTCCAACGCTGACAAGTTTCGACGATGAAGTCACATGTCTTTTGTAGTTTAGACATCGCTGAAAGTGATTCGATCCTCACAGGTTAGATTTCTCGACGCCAAAGAGATTTTCCAATCGATTGAAAATGAATCGCTATAAGCTGTTTTTCCGACATGTGCTTCTTCACTACTTCGACCTCAAGAAAACCGCAGCTGAAGCGCATTGCTTATTATCCTAAATTTATGGTGATGAAACTCCATCGGAACCAACATGTAGAGTTTGGTTTCAACGTTTCCGAAACGGTGATTTTGATGTGAGAGACAAAGAACGTTCAGGACAGCCGAAAAAATTTGAAGATGTCGAGCTACAAGAATTGTTCGATGAGAATCCAGCCCAAACGCTTTTAGAGTTGTCACTGGCGGTTGATGGATGATGGATCGTCCTTCTATATATAATAGCATAAGACAATCAGATAGAAGCATACAAGCATGTGATGCTCATAATCGTATATAGACATTGTATCTTAAAATATATACAGTTAATCACCACTGTTGTCATCAATTATTTTAAATGCCTAAATATACAACATGGCGCAGTCGTTAATCGAAGAATAAAGCTCAGGCAATAGCTATCAGAGCTAAAGTGGTGACTCGATTAAAGGTTAGAAAATAGTACAATGACACAAAAGACTATAAATTGACATTTAAGTTTACTAAACGCAGTTAAAATGGACGCGAAAATTCCCGCACCGCTGGATTTCAGTGGAAACATTGCAGAAAACTATAAAAGATTCAAACAACGAATCAATATATACATGACAGCAAACGGTTTTCAAGAAAAGAGTGGTGAAGTTAAAGTGGCAATACTTCTGAATACAATTGGTGATGAGGGTATTGACATATTTAATAACTTTAATCTCAGTGAAGCTGATCAGAAGAAATATGATGTAGTGGTCAAGAAGTTTGATGAATACTTTCTTCCCAAGAAAAATATAATTTACGAGAGATTTCTATTCTATAAAAGGATACAAGAACCTAATGAGCCAGTAGATAACTTTGTAAAAGAGCTGAAAAAAATTGCGCAAAATTGTGAATTCATGGATGAGCAAGATATGATCCGTGACAGACTAGTATTGGGTATTGCGAATGTAACACTACAGGAGAAGCTGTTAGGCATGACAGACTTAAAGTTGGAGAAGGCAGTGGAAATTTGTAGAGCCAAGGAGGCAATAAAAGAAAAGCTCAAGACAATGCATGAAGAGAAGGCAATTGAGAAAATTGAGAAAAGATCGCCGTCGAAGTGGAAGCAGAAGCAGCCGATCAGTCCCAAGGGTCAAGGAAGGAAGGAAGAAACGCAAGACGTAACAGAATTTCAGTGCAGAAGGTGTAACAGAAGGCATCGCCCAAGCGAATGTCCAGCATTCGGGAAAAAATGTAACCGGTGTGGAAAGTTAAATCACTTTGAGGTAGCATGCAGAGTAAAAGGAATTCAAGAGGTTGAAGATGTGGAGGAGGATGAGATGCTGGCAATCGAGTCAGTAAATATTGTTAAGAGCGAAGTACTACAGATAAGTGTATCGGAATGGTTTGAAAATGTTAAATTAGAGAATAAGATTATTAAATTTAAACTGGATACAGGTGCACAAGTAAACATTTTGCCAGAAAAAATATTTAATAGCTTGAACAGCATGAACACAAAATTAGAGAAAACAAACATTATATTGGAAGCTTATGGTGGCCAAAAATTTAAGCCGAGTGGTAAAGTTAGATTAAGATGTAAAGCTAAAGGTTGCGTTAGAATTCAGGAATTTATTATTGTTAGAAATGAAAGAGTACCGTTATTAGGCTTGAAATCTTGTATAGAGTTAGGATTATTAAAGAAAGTTGTAACAGTTAAGGTTATAGAAGGTAAAGATGAATTCATTAAAAAGAATGAAGATTTGTTTTCAGGAATTGGGACTTTTCAAGAGAAATGTAAAATTTCCCTGAAACAAGATTGTTGTCCAGTAGTGAGACCACCAAGGCGTATTCCATTAGCATTAAAGGATAAATTAAAGACTATACGTTAAATGATTTGGAGTCAAAAGGCATTATTGCTAAGACTGAGGGACCTGTCGAATGGTCAAGTAATTTAGTTATTGTAGAGAAACCAAACGGTACATTAAGAATCTGTTTGGATCCAGTAGACTTGAATGAAAGTATTAAGAGAGAGTTATGTTTGCTGCCAACTTTAGAAGAGATAAGTGCCACTCTGTCAGGTAAAAAATGGTTCACTGTTCTTGATCTTAAGGATGGATTCTATCATGTGGAACTAGATAAAAATTCAAGCAAACTTTGCACTTTCGGTTCACCGTTTGGTAGCTATAGCTTTAAAAGACTACCGTTTGGTCTCAGTTTAGCCCCGTAATTATTTCAAAAAATTAACAATAAAAATTTTGGCGATATTGAGGGCGTAATAGTATATATTGATGATATTTTAATTTTCGCGGAAACAAAAGATATTCATGATTCAATTCTAGATAAAGTATTAGAGAGAGCAAGAAAATTAGGAATTAAGTTCAATCCTAATAAAGTGCAATTTAGAATGAATGAAGTAAAATATTTAGGACACAAATTTTCGAGTGCAGGTATGGAGCCAGACAGTGAAAGAGTAAAAGCTGTGATAAATCTTAAAAGTCCACAAAATAAGAAGGAGATGCAAAGAATATTGGGAATGTTTAATTATTTTCGTAATTTTATACCTAATTTGTCGGAGCTGTCAGAGCCGTTAAGGTGTCTACTGAAAAAAGATGTAGAGTTTTCCTGGTCATCAGTAAGTGAGAGGGCATTTGTTAATTTGAAAGAAACACTTATGAAAGCCCCGGTATTAACAAACTTTAACATTAATAAGGAAATTACGATACAAACAGATGCATCCAGCAAAGGACTGGGAGCATGTCTATTGCAATGTGGAAAGCCAATATTCTTTGCATCGAGAAGTTTAACTGAATCGGAAAAACAGTATGCTCAAATCGAAAAAGAAATGTTGGCAATTGCGTTTGCGGTACATAAATTTAAGAATTTATGGAAAAACAACGACAGTATGGACTGATCACAAACCTTTACTGGCGATAATGAGAAAGAAAATATCTGACATTGTTTCCCCTAGGTTACAGCGACTTAAACTGAAATTACTGAGATTTGATTTGGAAACAAAGTTTTGTCCAGGAAAGTATTTATATGTTGCTGATTTGCTGTCAAGAGATTATTGAAAGGACCCAGTGTAGGAAGATCAGAGTATGTTAGAGGTTGTACATAATATTCAGACTATTATTAACATTACGCAGGAAAAGAAAATCAAATTTCAGATTGAAACGGAAAAAGATGAAATATTTAAGAAAATAAAAAATTACTGTTTATTGGGGTGGCCAAAAAATTATGATAAAAATAACAAAAAATTAATGGCATTCAAAAATGTAAAGGATGAGATTACTATTATTGAGGATATTTTATTATATAACAATAGGCTAATTGTTCCGGATAGTTTAAAAATTGAGATGATGAAACTTGCACATGAAGGTCATTGCGGGATAAATAAGACATTAAAAAGGATACAAGAAACATTTTATTGGCCAGATTTATAAGGTCATTTCGGGATAAATAAGACATTAAAAAGGATGCAAGAAACATTTTATTGGCCAGATTTAACTAAAGATGTCACTGAATTTGTTAAAAAATGCAGGTTGTGTGAAAAATTTCTACCAGCCAAATCGCAAGAAACCATGTTAAAACATGAGATCCCGAAAAGACTTTTTATGAAAGTTGCGGCGGATATAGATAGTATGGCGCAGATAATTATCTAATCATTTTTTACTATTACTCTAAATGGTCAGAGATAATAAAATTAAAGGATAAAACAGCACAAGGAGTAATGATGGCGTTTAAAAATTGTTTTGCGACACATGGAATTCCGGAATATCTAATAGCGGATAACATGCCTTTTGGATCCTATAGGTTTAAAAAATTTGCGGGTGACATTGGAATGCAAGTCATAACGTCCAGTCCACATTATCTAAAAAGCAATGGACAAGCAGAAAGTGGCGTGAAAATAGCGAAGTCTTTCTTGAAAAAACAACTTGATTTAGATGTAGCACTATTAAATTATAGGAACACGGAGATAACAAACATAGGTTACTCACCATCACAATTATTAATGAATCGCAAGAACTTTAATTCCAACAGCGCAAAAAATTGTTAAATAACAATAATGTCAATAGAAAACAAGTACATTCTAAGTTAGTTGATAAGCAAAATAGATTTAAGGCGGATTATGATGAATGAAGAAAGTAAAAAAGTATCCTCAGTTCAAAGTAAATCAAAAGGTAATGTTTAAAAAAGGAAGCACATGGGTACCGGCTGAAATAATTGAAAAATGTAAGGAACCTAGGTTATATTTACTTAGAGACAACAATGGTCAGGTGTTAAGGAGGAACACTAGTCAGATTAGACAATCTAGTATTAGGCAGGAAGAAAAACCTGCACACACACACATGTCTGATGATGAAATAATAGAGGATGAATCACTGAATTATGAAGGAATGCAAAAAGGGGAAGTTTCAAATCAATTAAACGATGTTGAGGAGGCAGGCGAGAATGAGATTGGAAGCGACCTTACTGTAACTGATATGAGTGATAGTAGTCTGAGAAATGAGGACAACAATGTAAGACCGAAAAGGAGCACTAGGCCAAATAGTCGATTAAAAGATTTTGTAACGTCCTTTAAATAAGAGTAGGTGGGACAGAAGTGACTGAAAAAGGAAGGTGTTGTAAGATAGTCCTAGATAGCGTGAGTGAAGCACTGGCGGTTGATGGACGATGGATCGTCCTTCTATATATAATAGCATAAGACAATCAGATAGAAGCATACAAGCACGTGATGCGCATAATCTTAAGTAGACATTGTATCTTAAAATATATACAGTTAATCACCACTGTTGTCATCAATTATTTTAAATGCCTAAATATACAACAGCGCCAATTTTGTTGATGTCAAATCTTTTATATGAATGATACATATCATTAGAGTTAAGTAATATTATGTATAAAGGACCAGTTTCACCAATCCGATTAAGCCGAATCAACCATAAGTGTCAACCATAAGTGGTCAATTCCACTAAACAGTAAACGCGATTAGTCAGTTCCACGGCGAATTAAGTAATTGACGTTGTTGAAACCGGCCCAAATAATTTTTAGGAAAAGCACGTACGCTTAGCGCTTTTTTTACCTTTTTTTTAAAAAGGTAAGTTTGTATAAATAATAAGAGACAGTACCACTTGTGTTTTACTTTTTCATTTGATAGATAAAAATTAACTTGGCGCTTGTTGATGATACCAAATCTTTTATGCACATGATACATATTATTAGAAATAAGTTAATAATAATACCACTTGGATTATCCTTTTTAATATGGCAGAATTTAACTTGATAAAGATGGTATCACATAGGTTTAACGTTTTAATTTGGTTAGATTTTACCATGAATATTTTTCTCGAACAGCATACATACTCTTACCCTTTTTTTACCCTTTTTTAATAAGGTAAAGTTATATATAATTTAAAAAATCTCACCATCACCCCCATTGTTTTATAATTGTACATATCACTAGAGTTATCTAAATAAAAAATCCCTCCACCATCCCCATCGTCTTATAATAGTAATACAAAATTATCAACATAAATATCAAGACGATGGTTATCTGTATACTGTTGTATGTTTTCATATCACTAGAGTTAACCAAATGCGTTAACTTTGTTGATACCGAATCTTTTATATATGGATCATACATACCCACTAGAATTAATTTTAAAATATTGTGATGTTTTTTTTACTTGATAGTTTTTTGCAAGATTCACACATTCTTAGCGCCTTTTTTGAAAAAAGGTGAATTTATATATAATTAAAGTTACTGTTACTTTTTTGTGATACATATTCCTCCACCACACCTATCGTCTTATAATAGTAATATAAAATTCTAAAAATAATATGTATATTGTTGCGTCTTCTTTAAAATATATAAAACTTTAATTTGCCGGCAATAAACAAAACAAAAACAAACATTTCGATCCTTATTGTAATGATAACACAGATTCAATACGGCCAAAATGCCGCTAGTGCGGTGAACAAAAAAAATTTCAAACAGAATAACATACGCTAAGCCTCCTGATGATTTTTAAATTTGCGTTTGAAGAGCCGGTCACCCTTTCCAAAAACGTCATCGAGAAAAACGAGAAGAGAATAAAGAGAATTGCGACTTCCGACTAGAGAATCTCAAAGGGAGAGAGTGGCAAACTGCATCACGTGATTCGTCTCCTCTGATTGGGCGCATTCATCAAAACTCCATAAGCATGGAAATGGAAGAGAAATTGATCATGTGACCCCCGTCCTGATTGGACGCTGTCATTCACGTGATGCAATTTGCCATTCTCTCATGGTGTGCTCAGTTGGACGGTGTCTCCCTCTAAACTTTCGCCGTCTCTCTCGCATTTCACAGTTGGCAGCCTTTGTATCTTATGTGACATTTATAATGGTGCCTTTTCATGCTGGCCCTGAACGCTCATTTTCAGCGTCAAAATAAGTCACGTGATCAGAATTGACGTTTGATATTCGTCAATTTCTATCACGTGACTTATTTTGACACCGAAAATGACTTTCGTCGGCATGAAAAGGCACCTTAAGCCTGATGTCTACGATGCTAAAAATCGGACCGAGACTTCGTTGAAGAAAGAATTGACCAATCACAAATGTATATACTTATGTTTCCTTTTTGACTTCCATTTCGAAACCAACTTCTATTATTATAAATATATAATTATATATAAATAGTATTAAGTAGTATTGATAACGAACAAATTCTTAGTCATTTTCTTTACCAATTTTCGCAATCGAAGCATTAATTTCTAAAGCATCAAATATCCGCCTTCGATGGCTTGGTGCGCGGGGAGTGGGGACTGCCTAGCAAGCGTCCCGCGCTCCGCACACCGCCGTGAACCTTCAAACCTAGGGTCTTAGAAACCAGAGATGCGACTTGCGTCAATTGGGTTAGGTTGTCATCGCCATTTTAATTCAGTATAAGTACTTGTAACCATAAGGTGCCTTTTCATGCTGACGCTCGACGCTCATTTTCAGCGTCAAAATAAATCACACTGGGTGCTTATATCAAACGTTAATTTTGATATTGGGTGCTTTCCATTTGATGACACAAGTCGACACAAGCATCGTTCTATCTTTGTTGACATTCAGAGAGTGACAAAGATAGAACGACACTTGTGTCGACTTGTGTCATCAAATGGAAAGCACCCAATATCAAAATTGACGTTTGATATTTGCCAATTTCTATCACGTGACTTATTTTGTCGCCGAAAATGAGCGTCGAGCGTCGGCATGAAAAAGCACCTTTATAAGCTGATGACAGCTGATGCATTACATGAGGAAATTTAAATTATTAGAAAAAGAAGAAAATATAATACGTACTTATTATAACATGTACTTAATAGTACAGGGTGCTTCCGATACCTACACATCAGTAAGTTAGTTTGCCTTTCGGCAGAGGCATGCTCATCCGCAGGGATCTGCTTATCTGGAGAAAAAATTCTGAATAATAAACGTGCATCCATATTTTCTTGAATAAATTTCAGGTCAATAATGTGATAAATTTCCAGTCACGTATTCATAATCCATAAATGTTTTTTATGCAGCGTGCACTGTGCTCTACATAATAATGTAATATGTCACGTTATGCATTTATTTTTTTCTACAGATTGTTTCGTCGGACCAGAGTATTTTTCAAAAATAAATAAATTTCCGGCATCACTGAAATCTATTTATATAAACTGAGTAATTTAATATAAAATTAATGACACAAGAATTAAGATAACTGACAATAATAGATATATTGCAATAAAAAATTAGTAAATAAACTTACGTGTTCAATCCCAGCAAACACAAACATATAACTATTATATTGCTACCATATAACGGAATATAACAGATAATATAACGTGTGCATAACAGTCTACGTCTACGTTAGTTGTAATTTTCCACTCATGAATTTTTGCTGTTATGAAATATAAACATAACATGCACTCAAAATGTTATAAAACTGTTGTATAGAGGTAATATAATTTGCTGCGATATTATAACATAACTGTACTGTAGCTGTTATGTACACTAACCTAATCTAACCTATAATTTATCTTTTGCACATTAGAAAAGGTCTTTAAAGCACTTCTAAAAGCGAAAGCAAACGCAACAGTTTGCTTTCGCTTAGAATTAATTCAAACCTTTTCTAGGATTAGTACATACAAAGTACAATTCTTGAGAATTGTTTTTGCGTGGATAGGACAAAATAATAAAATATAACAATTATAAACTGTTTAATTTAGTAATTTTATAATATTATTTATATCTTTTCTTGTTCATCATAAAATATTTTTCATATATAATATATATTTCTCATTTTAATAACGTATTATAAATATTACATAAAGTATAAAAGATTTTCAAAAGTTTATATATAGAACAGTGAAAAGCAAAATTAATGTAATAGGCTAGATAAACAAAAATATCACATTGATAAGGAACCATTGATTTGGGTAAGAATATGATATATATATATATATATGCTGTTATTTTATGCATTTGTTAAATTTTCATTCTCTTTATCCCCTTCCTTCTCTTTATTTTCTCTTGTCTTCTCTTCTCTCTGATTCTCTTTATCTTTTCCCTTTTCCGCTCTTCTTTGTCGTTGTTTAGCAAAACGAAACCATTCAGCCGCGATATTATCAAATTCTGTTTCCGTGAGTGTCATATGATGCAAGGTAATCTCTCCTTAAAACGAAATAAATGTAAAATTAATGAAACTATTACAAAATATATCTTTAATTTATGATTTAGCAACATTTTTTTACATACTTTTTATAATTATTACAAGCTGTAAATTATCTAACCGAAAATGGTTACGTATACCCTTCCAAGAGCAATTTATGGCACATCCATCAGTAAAAATCTTTTTCAGAGTACGATGGATGTTATCTCTAGGGTTATTTCCTCCAATTTTTGATATAAATCGTTTCTATAAAAAAATATAATTACAAGTTTTGTCTAATAATGATAAAATTAAAATAAATACGGAAAGGATATTTAAAAATTATCAAATAAATATAATTTAATAAGTGAGAATAATTCAAATAATTTATACACACATATGCACACAATGGATAGAATCATAAAAAACATTCCTATTTTTTTAATTCTAATAATATAATGCATCCATAAATTTTATGGACATTTTAATAGAATGCAATAAAGAAATAATATGTACATATTAAGAATTAATATGTAATAAATAATAATAAAAGTGAATTCTTCTTATTCACTCTCTTTTAAAAAATCAATCAAAATTAGAAGCAAAGATCAGGCAAATGAGAGTCAGCGTGGTAATTGGTACGCAATATTTAATTTATTTATTTAATATCATGAATGTTTCTTTATTGTTTGAGATTGTACATCAAATCTGTTAATTTAATGGTGACTTTGTCTCAACTATTTGAAGAGAGAAATGAATTTAGATGCTGAGGATGACTCCATAGTAGAGTCGAAACGTTCATGATATTAAACGAATAAATTGAATATTGCGTATCAATTACTACGCTGACTCACATTTGCCTGATCTTTGGATCCAATTTTGATTGATTTTATAATAAATAATATTAACAAAATAAGACAAAATAAGATCGCTCGATAAAAATACAAATCACAAAAGTTATATCGATCAATAACAAGCAGAACAATGATCTTCATATAATAATTTAATATATCAATACTTTACGAATAAATTAGATATTAATAATTATTATACGTTTCGACTGCACAGTCTTCTTCAGTGAATATTATAATTTAAAATATATATAACTATATAATTTTTATGCATACCTTTTGAATACGATGTTGAATCACCTGTATGTACACAGTTCAGATCTGAATATTCACTGCGATACGTGATTTGATATATCTGATGAATTGATATATCCAAATGAAATGCAGTAATTAAAATATGCAATAGAATACATAAGAGCCTGCTGACAAATCAATAATTCTCTCTCTTTCTCACTCTCTCTCTCTTTCTCTCTCTAGGCAGAAATCAAATTAATATAATTATAGTCTTAAAATACAGATTTATGTTTACATTATTATAGTCACAAGTCGATCTACTCATAAGCCTGATATATTTCATATACGACAAGGCTTTTCAAGCCTGTTGATTAGCTGTAGGACAAAGATGTTCTCGAATCTCTCTAGCCAATCAACAGGCTTAAAAAGCCTTAATGTACGACACATGAAATATCGACTAAAAGCCTATTCTACAATTGCATAAACGTAGTTGTATTATCCAAATATATAATTGTCTTTATATATTTTTAACATTAAATAATGTATGTTTTTATATTTATTATACAGCATGTGTAACTAAAAGATCGATCATAACCTTATTAAGAACTTGTAAAAGTGTCATGCATTATCTCAGATAATAGTCATGACCGGACAAAAATATCATAAAAATTAAATATGGAAATACTTTTCACATTTAATTCTATCGTTAAATTAACAGTTAATGTAAAAAAGAAAAAGGATTACCTTCGATGAAGATTCTATAACTTTTCGCCTTGCACGTGCACACGTATGGTATTCAACCAAGAAAGTATGAATTACATGGCGGGCGAACTCGCATTATCTTAAGCGGTGCGAGCGCCATCCAATGGAAAAGTTTAGAACCTCGCGTGAAATTCAAGTTATATAATATCAACAGAATATCAATGAAACAATTATTTTATAACACTCTACAAATGCAGTTATATCACTGTTCGTTTATTATAACATATAAATAACAAAATGACGTAATGGTTTCATAATTCGATTATATTATATATGTGAAGTAAAATTATATAACTATAATATAAATAGAGTGTAACATCTGCTATATTACTTGTTTCTTCTACGTTATATTGTATTTAGGTTTAGTGTTTGCTGGGATAGACCATTCACAAAAATTTAAACGTCATGACGATATCGCCAGGTATAAGTTTTTATGTGTTATGCTCTTTAAATGAATGCCAACCCATAAAATATTGTAAATATGCAGAATTGTTTTATACTTATGTTAGAAAAAAATGGTAGTTACATATTAAACATTTATTATATGAGCATTTCAAGATAAAAATATTTTTTGTTCAAATATGTTTATTAAATTTTAGGTTAGATTAGGTCAGATATCATTATTTGATTAGTAAATATATATTTTATATCATATTAAATTTTACACTATATCAGAATGTAAAATTCAATTTCTCTTGTTTTATTCCCTGTCGAATTTGCGATCTAATCTTATTCTGCATTACCATGCCGATAAGCAGATCCCTGCGAGTGAGCATGCTCCTGCCGATAGACAACCCGACTTACTGATGTGTAGATATCGGAAGCACCCTGTACATACATTATACGTTCATTATTAGACTATACATAGAGTCGTAGGACTCTAATTATAACAGTAATGAATTAAAATGGCGGTCTGATCACGTGATTTAGATAGTCAATCAAACCATACCCTTCAATGTCGCATCTCTGGGACTTTGTTTCTAGGATTCTATTCAAACCAAACGTCAACTGGAATGTGCAGGCATCTAAACGCCTCTACCGCCATCTAGTGCCAGACGATGCAGTCGTACATTTTTTTGGTTGATGACGACGTATCTAATTTGAATCTGAATGAAAAGTGACAGTTCGGAAATTTGCGTCGCAATATCTTCGCTTGTAGGATACGTAGAAAAAAAATGAAAACACGTACAATCGGAGTGTAAGCTATCGATTAAGGTATACTTTAATCGAGGCAGCCGTTATTGAGATCCGATAATCTCGATGACGTATCTCTCCGGTTCGCGTAAAGTAGTCACGGCAGTATCGCTGCGCTTTGGCTTAGCGCCGAGACACTACCAGTGTCTCTCTCCAGATAAAATTAAGGTGGCTAATTTAAAGTCAGCGCGGTAAGAAGTGCGTAAAAGACAATACTTTTAAATATCATTTAATGGATGGTACGAAAATTACATTAATTTGAACGTTTCAGCTATCGGTTTTAGCCATCTTCAGCAAACAAAGTTAGTAAAACTTAAATTATATCCTACCCTAATACATCTAGATATTGTCAATATGTAAGTATATCTTCACGATCGCTGAGATTCTGACAAAAATTATGCCATCTGTACACGAACTCATAAGGAAGCACAGTCATCGGTTCACGAAGTTATCCAGCTTGTTGGTCGTGAGATTGTCAATTATTCAAAGATTGTAATCATTCATGGACCGATGATTGTGCTTCCCCATGAGTTCATGCACAGTTGGCATAATTTTTGTCAGAGTCATGGCGATTAAGGTGATATACTTACATATTGAAAATATCTAGATGTGTTAGGGTAGGATATAATTTAAGTTTTACTAATTTTGTTTGCTAAAGATGGCTAAAACTGATAACCGAAACGTTCAAATTTATGTAATTTTTGTACCATCCATTAAATGATATTTAAGAATATTATTTTTTGCGTACTTTTTACCGTGCTGACTCCAAATTAGCCCCCTTAATTATATTATTTTAATAATATAAGAATTTACAGGCAAATGAGAGTTCGGTGCGGTACTTAGTTCACAAACATTGATTAAATGCATAGATAGTTATATTTGACCTGCTTTACATTTGAAAATGTTTTGACCAACACTTGAGGTCATCATCAGCGAAATCAAACGAAGAATAAAAGAGGATATAGAAAAAGAATAAAAGGATTTGCACCCTCCTGTATATCAGACGAGTCCCCACTGTGTAATTCCGAAAATTTCACCATGGTCCAAATTCGGTCATGATTATGGCTATGTTTACACCGTGCATTTAGGCCGCGGTCTATACAATAGATGTCCTTGTTTATGCTATAGGTTAAACAAAGACACCTATCGTATAGGTCGCGGACTAAGCGCATGGTGTAAACGTAGTTTATAAATGAATGCCTATGAGATGTTAAACAATTAGTATTTTAAATAATGTCAGCTAAATTTGCAGAGACTTACCTGAAGACAGGAGCGTAAATTGCAAATATATTACAAATTTTAAGCTAAGTTTCATGTCAAATTTCAAAAGTAAGGAGTTACAATTATAGATGTTAGCTGTATCAACGTTCAGAATCATTATGATTTAAAAACATTATTTGTGAGAAATCGAAGGTGAAGCGTTAATAAATAAATACCTCAATTATGTATATGCAATAAAATGTTACTAGGAATCATGTAAAGTTACTAACGCATGAGATTTAAAACTTGTTCAGAATATTTACGTATGCATGATTGAGACATTCAGTATCTTATTGTAAGTTTAAGCTATTTTTTTTGTAGTTAGATAAATAACATTTCGGATTAAGCGTTTAATTAAATATCTCGGTATCTAGGATTTTTACATTTGTCCAATCAAATTCGTGATCCTGACGCAGTCTATGATCTGTGAGGAAGTGTCTTGGGAGGAAGTGTTTCTATTTATGTGACTTGTGTTCTGAAATCCTGATTTTTAGTTTCCTACCTGTTTGTCTTACATGACTGCAGGTTGCGTCACAATCCCTACATGAGATTTGATAAACTATATTTTTCTTTGATTCATTTGAAAGGAAAATTTATTATTTTATATTCAATTATAAGAAGTCCAATGTTTATTCTTTGTTTATTTTTTTGAAATATTATAAGGTCTATCGATGATTGTCATTTAAATTTGCAGAAATAAGTTTATTTATGACTTTTGTTCTATGTAAAAAATAATTCCGTATCGAATTTTTCTTATAAGGAAGAAGAAATATACTTTGTTTTTACGATAAAATTCGTTTTCATAACTTATACCTTTTCATTTCGGCTTCTGTTTTAACCCATTGCTATAGAAGTCCGTCATAATTGTATCACAATTTGATATGCTATGAATTTTATTTAAAAAAAATGTGCCATTGATTGTACCGCCGAAGAGTATTACGCAATTGTGAACGACCTTGTGCGCCTGACCTATGTGGTGATGCAACACCCTGTACATGGTATGGTAAACCACCTTATGTTTTCTCTCGAACCATGATTAGTATCACGAAACAGTTCTGGAATTCCCTTATATTAATCTTCGTTATATTTTTGGAAACGAATTTTAACGGAAAATCGTTTTGTATTTATGTATTAATGATAAAAATAAGATTCAATACTAGAAATTTAACTGCCTATTACGGTCGGAGCTGGATCTTCGTTGCTTTTTAAATAATTCAATCTTGAATTACTAATATATACTATATATGTACTTGCATACATACCATATTGTAGTCTTTTTCTCTCTCTAACTGCGCGTCGAATTGTTTTTCCGGACTAAATAAACGCAATTAAAACTATTCTAGTAATCGCGAATTAAATTGACAAGCAATTTAATAATTTGATACTATCATCAAGCATCATATATTATAAACAATAAAACTTAAATTATAACTTCTTTCTCGCACGAATTACCGCAGCTGTGACTCTCATTAGCCTACTAATGTTTATGTTATATATTATAAAGATGTTAATATATAAAAACTGTTAATAAATTTATTGCGAAAAATATTACCTCGGCCGGGACTTGAACTCGGATCTCTTGTAAACCGTACGAGCGTCCTGAGCGATTAGACTACGAGGCCTTATTAATAGTAATAGGCAGTTAAATTTCTAGTATCGATTGAGTTTCTCAAATGTACGGTCTAAAAATATAAATATATAGAAAATAAGATTCTTTTGGTGGAATTCTTGATGATGGAAGCAACAAAGCTTTATCCACTAAACCAAATAATATGCCTCTTTTTTGCGAAATAGGATGTTAGGACCAAAAACTTTAAAATTCCGCCAGAATACGTTTTTAATTTGACGACCATCTTTTTTAATTTGATAACCATCTTTTTTCGTCTCTTATCTGTTTAAGGGTTAAATGGCGAGCGGACGTATTATTAATGTATATGTTGGTAAAAAGGGTAATTAGCTCGAGAAGTCGATAAAATCGATAGATGTTTAGTTTCGATTTCTTGTCCTCGATTAGTTACTATGGTGGTCTAGTTATTTTCTTTTATATAATTTTTGACACTTCCTAGTCTCACTCTCTTATATTCTGATCTGTTATTCCCGCGCATAAATATTGGCGGTTTAAGTATTTTTCATTTGTAACGAGGTACAAGCAAATATATACACATTCTAAGAATACAAATATTCTTGTTATTATGGCACCCGTATACTCTGCGCAAAATCATAAGTAACAACAGTATATATTACAACAAATTTGTGTGTGTGCGTGCGTGCATGCGTGTGTAATATACAGGGTTATCGAAAAGTATCGGACCCCCCTAATATCTTCAGTTAGAATGCATTTTGGAGAAAATGTCCAATAGCAAAGTTGTATGGTTTCAAGCGAGGAGTAAGATGATAACCTTGA